ACCAAAAAGTGCTTTAGAACTTGAGTCTTGTGACAATGGCTTACATAATCCAAAATCAGTAATGTAAGAACTATACAAATTTTGATTAACTATATTACCAGAATGAAAATCTTCGTGCACTAAATCGACTTTATGAATTGTATTAAGCTCTCAAGCTATGTAATATAAATTAGCTACTTTAGAAGCCCAATTTAATTTACCAGACTTCTTTACTTTGTGTTCGCTTATAGCAATTCTTCTAGTAATATGTACTAGTTGTGATTCCAATCTAGTTTTTCACTATCCAAAGGAACCAAAACGACGTGATGAACTTGAACGGATAGCTTGGAAAAGTGAGGACCTTGATGAATTCAGAGATTTACTCAAAGACGACACATACTCCATAACTATCCTGTAGTTATCATCTTTTGGATTCTTGATTAATAGAAGTAAGGATAAATTTTTGAAAAATCATAATTACCTTTCTTCTATCAGACATAGAACTGTGACTTGTTGAACGGTTAAAATCTTGATTTGGCATCCTATGTTTTCTTGCATGCTATATTAATATTAAAATTTTCAAAATTATCAAATTACAGTTAGATCCAAGTGAAATTATCATTGAATTCTACCTTATCACATTTGACTAAACGTTATACTTGCCCTAAATCTTACAAGACACCTATTAGCTTTAACACGGTTTGGGAAATCCACTTTCAAATGCTGTTCTACACTAAAATACTTGATAGCACGAAGTTATCTGCATTATTTCGAAAATCAAAAAAGAAGCGACTATTCTATTTTTTTATTCGCGTATATAAATACTTGCCTGTTCCAATCTTCTAGGACAAGCAATGCTGTAGTATAAATTATCTCTTGTACATGTAGGAGAGTAACAATCAGTTAATAATATAAATACCCCAGTTGGTAAGTCATTCTCTTCAGAATCTTCATAATTATTACTTGATGATAAAATTGAAGGCATTTTTTTAAGTTGATATAATTTATTCTGAGAATCATGAAGTCGATTTATTTCAGATTTTTAATCTAAAATATTAATTAGAATAAATAAGGTTATTATACTTTAATAATAATAAATTAAACAATATGAAATAAAGAACGGGTAAGATGTTTTAAATATAAGTATTACCACATTAGTTGCTTAAATCAAAGCGTTGAGTTTGGAAGCAAAAAAAGTTAAATACCTATTTATTATATGCCGTATTATCATATTACTTGCCTAAATTTGCCTCCTAAATAAAGTTTTTAGGGATAATGATCTATACTGATCTTTTTTCCCAAAAGATGTATAAGAGGTTAAAGAACACTATAATATGTTCTAAAAAAATTTTATTATGTAAAACTATGAGTTGCCAATTGACAATATGGTTTTTCATAGTAAGGGTTATTTTAAAATTTTTTTATATTGTGTAACCTAGTGATCTTTAAGCCAATCAAATCGAATGTCTACCATGCTAATAGAATTACAAATTTGTAAGTTTTTTAATTTTTTGTTTTTAATAAAAAACTATACAAAATTATTATTTTGAAATCTCTTTAATTTCATTTTAAAATTACTTAACTCTTTGGAATTATGTTATTATTTTTAGAATTTTAGTTCAAAAATAGCAATATATTTTCTAAAGAGTTAGATAATTTTTTTTTTTTATTGGTTAAGGAGATCTCTTTGGCCTGAAAGCTTTTATTAGGATTGAAATGGTGTTTTATATACAATTACAACGATGGTACATCAAGCCACACGTGCACCTTTTGAGTGCCTAATTTAAG